GATGGAATGCGCGAGTTATGGTGCGAGGGCGTGTGTCGAGAGGAGTCCAGGTGTGAGAATAGGGTGAGAGGTATGGGCGAATCGTGGTGGGAGAGCGTGGGCAGGCGTGATCTGTGTCTAAGCGAAATGTGGCGTCACAACGGATAGAGTGTTGTTGCGCAACAGACTAGTTGATCGGAAGTGATCGAGTGTTGTGTGCTAATGCGTAGAAGAATGAATTGGGCGAGAGTCGGGTCGCAAGTCGAGACGGAATGGTGTCCCAAGGGGAGTATACTGAAAATGTAGGTAATTTCGATGAATGGTGACGGAGGTTGTGAGAGTGCGAGTGATGCTGAGGAGCCGGTGAGCTTGCATGATTCTGTCGGCTGATAGGATGGAGAGACCGAAGAGCACGTAGTATGAGGCGTAGTATGTAGTATAGTGTGAGAGGACAACCTGGGTGGTGTTGTAGTGGTTGATGAAGTAGTGCTTGAAGGTAGGTGCTATTGCTTGGACGAGATGAATGACGTTGGTGAAGGATGAGAGGAGCGGCAGCAGTTGTGGAGGGCAATAGGTGAGAGGTTTGGATCAGAGTCGTGGGGCGAAGGTGTGGTGGAAAGGAAGTCAGATGTGAGGAATGGGGCAAGAGGTATTTGTAAGAGAGAGGCTGGATGAGAGGAGTTGGAAGAAAGGTGTGAGGTGAGAAGTTGTGGCGGCGAGAGGAGTGCGGGAGAGCTGGAGGGTAAGGAAGTGTGGCGAGAATCAGGTTGTGACTAATGCCCAGGAGAAGCGTGAAATAAGGTTGAGATAGTGTGGGATATGGAAGTGTGGCGCGCGAAGTGTGGATCAAAAACGTTGGAGGCCGAGGAGAGTCAGATTTAATGAACTGGGTCAGAGGTGTGGGGGCGAGGCGTGATTGGGTGGCTCAGAGATGGTAGTGGGTAAAGAGAAACAACTATCAGCAGTCGAAGGATAGAGAATATGCTTTGGAAAAAGAGTGTTCTCACGGCAAAAGGAGAGCGGTACGTACTTTGAGAAGCGTAGATGTCTCGTCGGGGGTAGTTAAACATGCGTCAACCGATGGATCGTCCCAGATGTTGGGTGGGGTGTCCGCTCTTTCTACTAATCTTCATCTTCATCCCTCATCTTCTCGTGCTCATCACCTCATTCTTCTTTCATCCCCATCTTCGCCCTCATTACCATCACAGCTTTGTCCTATTGCCTTATTTCCTCCTCCTCATCTCCACTGTACTGCTGCCTTGGTCAGTGTCTCCCTCGCTTCGTCTCTTCCCTTTGCTCCTCCTCGCTCGTTTCTCGAACTGTGTCGTCCTTGCTGCTTGCTGTTGCGTTGTTCGTTCGACATCTTGGCATTTCGTGCGAGTGGAGGTGAGCGCACCGTAGAGTCCTGGGATGCGGATGATGTCGTCCCTGAGGTGCAGCTGGAATACGGGTCGTAGGCGGTAATCAGCGGCGCATCACGGCGTCGGTCGTTCCGAATGCGAGAGCCAAGGAGTGGCCAGAACTTCGTGCACGGCCACTTGGAAGAAGTTCGGTGCCTGCGCATGGACACGCAAATAAAATTTTGGCAACCCCGATATTTTCTCCAGCCATTTTCAACAAGTACGTTTTATTTATTTTTATATTTACTTGGAAACATACATTAAAAATATAAGATCTCTCTCAAAATTAATCGCTCCTCCATCTCAATCTCTCCTCAGTCTAAATCTTCCTCCTAGCATCAATCTGTCCCTCCTATAAATCTCACCCTCAATACAATATCCGCCTACTAAATTCTCCTCACACTAAAATATATATCCATCTTAAATCTCTCCCTCGCATTTAAATCTCTCCCTCTCCTTAAATATCCTGCTTACGATTCTAATCTTGCCTACATTCTAAATTCCCCTCAATCTAAATCTCCCACCAGTACTAAATTATCTCCTCCAAATAAAATTACATCACCTACCTAAAATCTCTCTCCATTAAATATTCTCCATCTAAGTTTCTCTCTCCTGTCACTAAATTTCCTCGTCTCATCTAAATATTTCCTCCAGATTATATTTCGCTTCCCTACATCAAATCTCTCCTCTCATAAATTCCTATCCATCTTAAATTCTATAATTGAATCTCAAATATTAGAATAGCCAAGAGATATAGATTGAAAGGTCAGGAGAGTGAGAATAACGAAGGAATAGGCCGAGGAAGCAAAGAGCAAGCAAGGCTCACGCTCGTAGCCCGAGCGTCCAAGTGCTCATCGGCGTCGAAGTTGGGCGTCTCCGAAGCGCGAGAAGGCGTGGGCGATAGTGCCACCGGCCGTACGAAGTCGTCCGACAGTGTCCGTCGGGCGGCCAGCGCTTCGAAACGCTACGTTCCAAGATCCACGGGGCGGGACGGGCGCCGCCCCTTCGGGGGCGGGGGCGGGGGCGAAGGTGAGGCCCGACCGCTCCGCCCACACGCCCAGCGCCCGCTCCACCGCCGCCTCCGCCGCCGCCGCCTCCAGCTTCTTCCCGCCGCCGCGGACGTTCTTGGCGGCGCCACCGCTGCCGCCGCCGCCCAGCCCCAGCCAGCTGCCCAGCCACGAGCCCAGGCCACCGCTAGAGGGGGCGGTGTACGCGGCGGCGAGCGGCTGGCTCACGCGGTAGGTGAGCGCGTGCTTCCACCACTTGCTGCCTGTCGAGCGAGACATATTTTGTCGTTTACTGTAATGTCCATGACGTTCATGTGGGGTCTACCTCAGGTTACTATAATTTCGATGATGTTCATGCTGAGGTCTGCTTCAGGTTGTTAGTGTGTGCCTTTTACTATAATTTCGATGACATTCATGCTAGAGTGTGTCTCAGTCGGTTAGTGGGTGCCCTTTATCTATAATGTATATTACTTTCATGCTGGAGTCTGTCTCAAGCTATTGGTGGCTAAAGGCAATTGCTTTGGTCGCAATTCCCGCGAACTCCTGTTAGCTAGTTCCGTTGCACGCGACTTTGTTGTTCCTGGCTAAGATGTTACGATACAACGGCCCTTTGTTAAACAATTGCATTGATAGATTGATAAGTAATTCCGGGCGCGTCAACTTCTAAGGTCATTAGTCCCGTAAGTGTAGTGCGTGTTTAATTGAGGGAGGTGGCAGTGATCTTTCCCCGAGATAGGGGAATATCCGTTGCCGATCGCGTCTGCTTGTACTCCATGCAGGTATCGCCCACCAGCGGGGAACCGCCCCAGCCCAGACAAGCGCTTATCTCACGACTGTGTGTAAGTAAGGGATGAAGTTAGGACAATGCAAAGGGAGAAAAAATTCCGCACGTTTTGTGGCCCGTTTGTTGCGGTACTACTCCGGCATTTGCTTGGCGTCGATCGGAGAAACCACAGAAAACTACCGATCGGGACAGCCGACCGCTAGAATTCTCCTCCCAACAACGGTTGAATTCGACCACGCTCTCTAGTTAGTGTCCTAAAACGTGCCATCGTCGGGATTCGAACCCTACAACTCCCCGGTCAGAAGCACTGCAGGAAACAATTGAAAGAGGAGAAATAAATCGGGTGTCTTCTTACCTTCGAGGACGTATCGTTTGTGCCTGCCCCTCGCAGGCTCTGCAGGGTTGACGTCTTTCACACCACATCGCGGCGTTCGCATGAGCTGCACGGTGGCCGCGTCCAGGATACCTGCAACGAGTTAAGAGCGTCGAGTCAGAAATCTGGTTCATTAGTTAGTTTGAAATGAGAGATTGTGATTCACTGAGAGATTATACTGCGAACAATACTTCTGCCTACTTGGCAGCTCGCGATTGACAGAGAAGAGGGGGTTTTGTTATCCAATCAGACGCTTCAAATTGTGATGATGTCACTACAGAGTAGCCGACGTTTACTAAGAAACTAATGAAATATCATAGCGCGAAGGAGAAGAAAATTGAAGAGCGCCGAGCGCCATTACTTGTTTCGTTATGGGCCGTGTGCGTGTATATATATATATATATATATATATATATATATATATATATATACGCAACCTTGAAAACGTACGTCAATTACAGGTAACGTCAGGAACAAATTGTACTTCAATTGTTCGTAATTGTGAACGTTACGTGAAAAGTATATACCAGAATAAAAGTCAAAACCAGAATGTCTCGAGTTTAGAGACTTATCTTTTATAAATCTTTTAAAATACAATGCATCTTACTTCTAAAAACGGGTCTCTCTGTACTTACTTTTCATCTGCCTTGCGTGTTATGCAAAAGCTATTGTTTATTCCTTGCTATTGGCGGGTTTAGTGTAAGGGACAGCGATTAAGTTGTGAAACAGTACTTCACGAAATAAACTAGTGTCATTATTACAACTCTACACAATATATTGGGCGAGTATGCCTCAACAGCTGATCTCACGCAAGAACGACCACGTGTCTACCGCCCGCGAAAGTGGCAACGTCGCTCCCAGCTGTTACGACGACAGAAGTATTATTCGCAGTATAGTTACTTTGCATTTCCAGGAACGTGGACATCCAAGTTCATTAGTCCCGTTGGTAAGTGAATAGATTATCTCGAGAGATAGCGAGATTTCGTAAAACATTCCTTCCTCTCCATATGGTGAGATTCAGCGCCTATCTACACGTCGCGTCTGCTTCTAGGAGATTGCACCATCCAGGTACTACCTCCAGCTCAGTCGAGGCATGCTCTCGACCGCCTTCTCGATATGTGTGGTTGATCGATTGATTAGTGTTTTCAGGCGCGTCAACTGCCAATGTCAGTACTCGCGTAATTGCATATTTTTTATCGCGTCAAGCGACGGTGGTCTCGGTGAGTGTATAGCGTCGGATGGTGAGATGTAGCGTCGACCTACACATTGGTTTGCGGGTTTTCTCAACCAGGTATCTCCCACCAGTGGGGCGTCGCCCCATCTAGGACAAGCTCTCGACTGGTCTCCGGAGATGTGTGGTAGTTTTGTGCATTTTCGTGTGTGTGCGTGTGTAAGTAAAGAGTGTAAATGTAAGCAGGGAAGATAGGAGAAGGGTGAAGATCTAAAGATCGCTTGCGGTCCTCGACCCGTGTGTTAGGGTACTGCTTCGGCATTCATCTGGTTTTGATGGCAGAAACCGTGGATAACTATCGATCAAAGCCAATTCTTCTCCAGATAGCGGTTGAAATCAACCCGCTATGTAGGTGGTGTCGAAAATTCTACCACTGCCGGGACTCGAACCCTTGTAACTACCGGTCAGAGACCCAGCACTGACATCAGTTGATGCCCTGAGCCACCTCATCCGGTTTTTGAATTATTTTTTTTAATCAGTAATAATATAATCGCATCTCCAAGGCCACAAAGCAGGTTACATCACTAGTATTATCCGCACACGTTTTCTTGAACCTTCATTCCGTTATATGCGAGAAGATTGGCAGGGTTACTTATTTCAACCACAGAACGCACATCAAATCTGTGGTTTGTTTGTCGATTTAAAATAGTCTCTATTACATGGGAGCAAACACGTCTGGTTATCATATTTGGTCAACATCTCTCGTTTCTATAATTCGTAAAACCTGCTTGAGCGACGTCACGCGGTGAATGGAGATATCATTTCATACTTTGAGAGATCATAAGATGAGAGATCTCATTTAATCATTTTTCAGCTAGTAACAACATACATACTACTTGAGCAACTCCACCTACATTTTAGTGTGTTTCAATATATGGCGTTGACTTGACACACGAGTTTGCTGGAAATTGGCCGAAAACGCCTTATAAAGTTCTCTCTTTGACCGTGTGATGTCGCTACGTGCGCCCGAATAGCTGAAGGCGCTTCGCATCCATACCCCCACTACCGGAATTGATCCTCCTCACGGCCTTCTTGATGATCAGCCTTCCGCTCTTTCTGAGCAACCGATTACGCGTCTTCCGGGCGCTTAGAGACAAATACGCAATCGCAAAGGACGAGGACGGACGGAGCCGCGCAGGCTGTTGACAGGCGGCCCGCAGAGCGTGCTATTTATCTCGCAATTCAGTCGCCGCAGGCGTCCGGAGCAGATTATCCAATGCCAAGAGTGCACCGCACAGGCTCAGAGGGTATCGCCGTTTGTTCCCACATGATAGCGGCAGTCGACCATGAGGCGCAAGTTGCTTTAAAGGACATCGCCTACCAACAAATATCTCGCGGGTCTCTGTTTGGATTGATGAACTTCCGGAGTTATGTTATCTGTAGGGGACGGAATTTATTGAAACAAAAATGCATAATATGTAAAAATAGTTGTTGCATTTATGTTTTCAAAACTATGAAATAAAAAGTAGAAAAGTCTTTGGCCTGGTTGTTAGGGTACTGCTCCGGCATGCGTATGGTACGAGAAACAACAGAAAACTACCAATCAGAGCAGCCGACTCCTCCGCCTTCTCCTCAAATCAGTGACTGAATTCGACCAAGCGATCTAGCTAGTGTAGAAAATTTTGACAACAACGGGATTCGAACATAGGACCTTCCAGTCAGACCCACTGAAGACAGTTCAGTTGATATCGTGAGCCATCTCCGAGGGTCCATGGTTGTTGTTGTTGTTATTATTATTATTATTATTATTATTATTGTTGTTGTTAGTATGATAAAGATTATGTAAAGGTAATAAAAGCGCTCTGTCCGTGGCTCGTTGTATAGGGTACTGCGTCAGCATTCGTCTGGAAATGATCAGGGGAACTGCGCAAAAAACAATCGGCCTACAAATACTACCAGAGCAATAGCGAATTCGAACAATCACGAATATCCTGACAAGGACTTTCCAACGTATCCACCCACCAGGTTGTGGCTAAAACCGCTCGTGTTTGCTCGAAGGATTCAACGCAACGATTGAAACTGACACGTATTACGAGCATGTTTAGGAGCACGGTACTACAATACGAGAACGAGAAATGTCGAATCAAGATGAGTAGATGGTAATTTCTTTACCTGTGACAGGAAGCCCTGAGAAGGCCTGGTAGGCTTTGATGGCGTCCTTGAAGGTGTCTTCTGCAAGAAGGGCTCCTGTTGTACCCTTTGCGTTGAAGCCACCTTTGCCCAAGTAGCCGTACTTCTTCAGAAACTCCTGCAAAAGCAAATACAGAACAGCTGATTTTATTCTTCCAAGCTAGATTCTGCCCTATCCAAGTATATAATGTTGGTCTTCTCGCCGCCAGTTAGTTAATTGGTTGATTGTTTTCGGTTGTGTGTTGTTTTTTTTGTATATCCTCCTCCAGGTATTTCCATTCAGCGAGGCTCCCCCTTCACCGAGATAAGCTCTAATATCTCGAGTGGTCTCCTGCGACATGTGTGGTAGAATAGTGCATGAATGTTTATGAGTGTGTAAAGGGAGAGCAAGGGCAAGGACGGGGATGAAACGATAATGCGCAATCCTTCACCCGTTTGTTAAGGTACTAGGGCAGTACCAATATAAACAACACTTTGAGCAAAATTGATATATTAATATACAGCAAGAGGCCTATGGGTCAAATAAAGATTATCTTGTTATGGTCCGAAGTCCGTCACTTGCTTGATTTTTATTGCCAAGTGGGAAACGATTTTCGTAGGAAGTTCGAAGTGGTAGGAAGGTTTTACTCAAAGAAAGATAAAATTTAAAGAAATGAAGATAAAATGATTTTTAAAATATGATAAAATAATTTCATCTAGAATATTCAATTGGAATAAAACAAGTCGGTCAACACTGACTGTTTGTCAACACTGACGTGAATTTGAAAAACTGAAGTAAGAGGTAACATTGTTGTAAAAAAGTTAATAATTTAATCAATGTTTGTGAAATTGAAATAGGATTGCACCAAGTTGTCGTTCACATCTGTTGCTTTTTGTCCTTGTTAGTGTAATACGCTCTTGAATAAGAACTGGCAGGGAAAAGAAGTAATCATAGCCTGTGTTGATGTAATAGCAATATTATTTTTCCTAAATGTGTGACTGCAAAAAGTTATTAATTTTTTACTGTTTAAAACTAGTTGTGCTAAAACAGCAGTTACTGAAATTTTCGCAAATATGTACGTAACCTTATTTTAAAATTTTTCTCTAAGGAACTGAATTCACTAAAAGATAAATCTCTATCTTCTATATTTTAGTAGTATGAAGACTCCGAAAAAGATTTCAACTTTTGCAATTTTCGAAAAATCAGGATTTTTGAACGAACAGAAAATCTGCATCATTCTCTTACACTATCAAACAACAAAATGTAATAAAAAAATGATGAAGTTTGTTTGAAAATTAGGGAAATGCCCCAAGTACCCACCAAGTTCAAAATATTGGTTTCAAATTCATCGAGCCACGACAACAGCCAGATTGATTAGAGAATATCGATTATGGAGAAAAACGTTGAACGGTTCAGTCGTTATCGTTTATCACAGACGGACGGACAGATGTTTTGCCGTTAATCGATTTTTCGGTATCAAGGACCCACAAATCAGGGATTCTGGCTACACAAGGTGATTCAAAATTATATTCCTAAATTTAGCAACAAGATTTATCCACTTTTTCGTTAATAGGGCCCTGGAATTTTTCTGCCGAAAATTCGCCGTTTTTTCGTGCAGCATTACAAAACATCCTTTGTACTCCGTAGCAAGAAAAAAATTCTGGGCAAAATAATAATAACCCTCATTTAAAACATTCGAAATTAAGATGTTAGGATTTCCCTCTCAAAACATACATTGTGATCCAAATCCTGTACATAGTCACAAAATTTTAGTATTTTTATGCAATGCTACAAGAATTGTATAGTTGTATTGAGAAATGTTTGATTTAGCAAAATCATTGTTTTTATTCTCTGAATTACACAATTTGCATAATTATGGTTATCACAATATTTTCGCGATCCCCTCAATTGGCAGCTACTTCGACGATAAATGTACTCTGACGTATGACCAGCTTTTTTCGAAGACAATCAGATCATATACGTAAACTCCAAGGGAGCCCATATAAAACAAGGGCCCGGGGGCAGGGAATATACGTGCGATCCTTCTTTCAAAATAATGTGCCGCACCCCCCCCCCCAATTAAGAGACAGAATGCAATTTCTTATGAGACCGAAAAAAGTAGAGCGGGTAATTTGAATTATAAGTAAATATAGTTTATGTTTATTTTGAATGGAAAATAATCGAGGCCCCAATTAAGACGAGGCCTTAGGCAAATTGCTCCAGCTGCTCACCCCCTTTTGATGATTTAGTGATTTGGGGCGCTTCAACTGCTAAGGTAATAGACGAGGTAGGAGATGACACTACAGATGACAATTAGCCCCACTTTTCTGTTTCTTCAAACCGACTGACATTTTTCTAGTTGTGGTTGACCATTTTCTTATTAATTAATGTAATTTTAATAGAATAATTTACTCCCGTAAATGTAGTGCATTTTGCATCGCCGCAGGTGGTGATAATCTTCCCCCGATGGATGGTGACTTTCGACGCCGACCTACACGTCAGCTAGCGAGGTTTTTCCCAACCACGTATCTCCCACCCGCGGGGCACTGTCCCAGATCGAAGAAGCTCCTGACTGGTCTCCGGCTATATGTGTTAGTGTAGTGAATCGTAAGTATAAGTAAGGAGTTAGGTTTGGACGAGGAAGGAAATATTGCGCGCGGTCCTTAGCCAGTTTGTTAGAGATCTCTTCCGTCATTCTCCTGGTATTGATTGAAAAAAGCTACGGAAATTTTTCGATTAGAACAGCCGGTCGCTAGAATTATTTTCTAGACAGTGGCAGAAATCGACCTAGCTGAGAAGCTAGTGTCGAGACTCCTGCCACCGACGGGATTCGAACTCTAGGACCTCCCGGTCAAAGTATAGCAGTGACATCAACTGATGCCCTGGGCCACCTACGTCATACCCCCCTTCTGGTCGCTACTCAAAAACTCACCATGGCGTCGCCTTGGCCGAAGGTCTTAGGCTGCTGTTTGGTGCGTTGCAATACTTGCGTAGGGGCTGCGTCCGCCGCTGGCCAGACCGCCAGCGCCACCAACGCCACCACGAGGCCCCAACGCGAAACACAACCCGCCCTGCGCCTTCTCGTAGTGAGAACCATGTCTTCTGAGCGACGAGTTGCCTTGCAGTGCACCATGTGTTGGAGCTGAAAGAGGTTGGTTTGATTAAAATGATGTAAATTTTAAGGCTTGCTCAAGTCTGGATAATTTCTAAATTAAGCGGTTCACATTATCGAGAATTGAATGATATTAACGTAGGCATCTACTACAGTTTTTTCGCTTGAGGTAATATTAAATGCATTCTGATTTTTCACGGCCCGTCATCTAATTATTTGGAATTTTGTTCAAAACGCGGTAGGAGCCTCACTATTACAGATGACTATTAGCCCCTCTTTACTGTTTCTTCAGACTGACATTTTTTCTAGTTATGGTGGATCATTTTCAGTAATTTTGTACACTTTAGAGGAATAATGTAGTTATCGATAAATATCTGTTTAATGTTATTTTTTATTTCAGCTTAATTCTAAAGAAAACTTAAAATGTAAATTCGGTTAGCAAATATTAATATTGCAAAATTTTAAATAATAAATTATAACTCAAATATAAAAGTGTTATATTATACTCCGCACTCGAGAACTTCCTAAGCATGTGCCTTACAATTTTGATGTAAAGATACAAAACTTACTGAATTTATAAAAAATGGTTTCAAAACTCCTACCAGTGCACGTACCTTTCAAGCACGAGGAACTCCAGAAGAACACCCCACACCCGGTGGAGTAGATGTTGATGGGATGATGACGTCACAATCGAATTCCACTATCCAAAACCAGCCGGCGGTCTACTAGATTAAACGCCTTGAAGTGCGCCAGCTGATGCTCACGCACAGATTGGCTACTACACCCGATCCAGACCCAGCTTCAAGCGCGGACGCTAACTCGACGAAACTGCGATTTCTACTTCTACTCGCAAACAGCGTCTGGTTCAGGTCCTTGAAACGAGGAGGCGGCCAACGTCCTCCAACGTTTGTTGTGAGAGGCGTCGAGCGTCGCGGCGCGGAGTGGAGTGGCGTGGCCAGGCGCCGCGACGCCTCTTAAATCGCCGCACGCGTGACGTCGCGACGCCCCATGCCGGCAGCGTGACGCACTTCAATGACGTCGTCGAGGCGGCGCCGCTTCCGCCGGCGCAATGCGACAGGTTCTCCAGGCTGCGCGTATGTGTGGTTTGAGGCCAAAAAAGCACCCAAATAGCAGCGCTACAACCGCGCATACTTTTTCGCATCATTGCTATAGGTTACGTAGTAATTTACATTCTTCCTTCCGTGATATAACATGCATGCTCCAACAGTACTCACTTTCTCACATTATTGCTATTGGTTACGTAGTAATTTATATTCTTTCTTCCGCGATATAACATGAACACTATAACAGTACACACTTTCTCGTATTATTGCTATAGGTTACGAAGTAATTTACATTCTTCCTTCCGTGATAAAACATGCATGCTACAACAGTACACACTTTCTCACATTATTGCTATTGGTTACGTAGTATTGCTATTGGTTACGTAGTAATTTACATTCTACCTTCCGTGATAAAACATGCACTACACTTTTACGTTCACCCGATAATAACTTATATATGTCCTGTATTTTATCTGCCCCAACCACAATAAATAAGTTACAAACCTATCGAAACGAAATCTAGAAGAATAAAAGTAAATGAGCCCCGGTTTGTTAGCGAAAAGATCTTGCAATAGAACTGATTACTTGCTGTATTACTAAACTGACACATAATTACTTCAATAATTTTAAACATATAGAAGGTGCAGTCACTTACGCAATAGGAAGTGATCAACCCCCACTCTCCTGTCTAAGAAACAGACTCCCATTTCACATTTTCCTTCAATATCTCTCGGACATTAGATAAGGTAAGAACATTTCTTGCATTTACCCGTCTCTCCCATTGTATTCCATTTTAAAGCCTGTCATCGCCCTTTAACAAATGTTATAGAATTTTCCTCTCACTCACCTTGGTTAAAGGCATAACCTAATGAAACCCCTGTCACCAGGGAGGTGACAAAACGTTACACCCTTCACACTTTGCTGTTACAAAGTTACTCGGTCAATAAACTGAAGAGCCTCACGGCTGAAGATTATACTGTCTGCCAATGTCAAATAAAAAAATAATAAGCACTAATAGGACCAATGATCTTAGTAGTCGACTCGCCCAAAATCAATCAATAGAATGTTCGCTAAGTTAATTCTTGTTATGCAAAAATAATGCCTTATACCGCTAATATCGCCTCATACCGCCACTGATTCCGATTTAGCCTACCCAAACTTCCTGAGACACCACATGCCAGAAAACTCTTGAAGACTGAAGCGCAGACTCCACTAGTCTCCACAACCGCTACATCAGAAAAGAAACAGACTAAAAAGACACAGGGCAACAATTAGTTGCCAATGGAGTGTCTCTGATCTGGAATTTCTTATGATCAAGTACTGTTAGCGGTGTAATTTCAACACTAGCTAGAAAACTGTCTCTAATTCAGCCGCTTTGTCAGGAGAGTAAATATAGTGGCTCGTCACTTTGCTCCGTAGTTTTTCGGTGGTTACGTTGGTAGTATAGTAACCCCGTCATCACCAAACAAATGATGGAGTAGTACCCTAACAAACCGGCCAGAGACCGCGCGCGATCATTCCTTCCTCATTCTTGTTCCTTCATCACTTTTTAACCACTTATACTATCATACTATAATACTTGTTCATACACATAACAACATGTCAATCAATTCAGATTTTTCAGAAACTGCGAAAAACTGGTTGTTGGCAAGTTATCGCGTCTTCAAACAATGTAATAAGTTGAACTGCTTACCAGTATTGTTACAATAGTCTACGTATACTGCTTTCAAACCAGTTATTTATAATTATGACGATATTTCGAGTTGAAAGTTGGTCAAGTGATTGTTAATCACGTTTGACGCTATGCTTTGCAAAAATTTCAATAGACGAAAGATTTTCCCGCGAGTGTATCTTTATCACTCTCTTTCTGTGACTGTTCGTGTTTGTTTCTTTCTCTGCGTCTCTGTCTTCCTCTGTCTCTCCCGGGAGAATGTTCACAATCGCAGAATACGAATGAAGACGTATTAATAATTGTACTTCAATCTGCGGCGGGTTGCATGGAGAGCGCCGTGGTGAAATGCGCCCTCATCAAGGCCCTTGCGTCTTCATAAAATCATCATTAAGTATGAACTAACCTACAAACAAACAAACATTGTCCTTTATATATAAAATATATTTGCTTTTGTTCCTCCACTTCAGGACAGAAGATGTAGTTCGGTCATTAGTACAACTGCAATGCAAACTCAATTTTGTTTCCGGTGGACTAATTCCGATGGATGCTTGTTTTTGCATAAACACTCCTCATATGTCGTGGGACCAATCTAGAGTGTGGAACGTAGCCAGATGCGGTGGTGTCCCAATTAGGAAGATACGTGGAGAGGGAGTAGTTGGAAGTCAACATGTAGGAAATCGGATCTCAGGTTCTTGTAGGGGAAAAAGTCCGTCGTCTTCCTAGTTATACAAATCAATACATGTACTGGGGTTCGCAGATATGCGAAATTTCCTTCACTGCGTCAGAATGTGATCGACTCTGTTCCAGTGAAAAGTTGCCTAATTAGGGGCAAGTGTCACATGTGTATATTCGTCCACGGAAGTTTGAAACACCATCTTCAAAATCGCGACCATCGATTTTCGATACAAATATTTAGTGCATAAACATTGCGTCACTGCCTTGGAAGCAATTGATTCTAATGACAAAGCCAATCTGATTCAGTTGTAAACCTACAATGTGTGAATCATTTCATTTCGTTAAACTTGACCCTTTAGTCATATATACTGATTATCTTCACCTACTGCTTTAAGAGTTTGTAAAATGTTCATTTGTTTTCCAGAATCGACGGCATTTACGATTTCTATGAAGGCGACAATAAGACGTTTGTATATGGTCAATTGTGCAGTGCCCAGTGCAAAATCTACTTGTTCATACGGTCAATGTTTAACTGCTGTTGTGGTCTGTATAAACAGTTTAGAACTCTTTTAGAAGTGCGTCGACTGCCGTTGACTCCGAAGTCTAATGTTGGGAAGATCACTGTCAGGAGTAATTTAATTAATAAACAGGCTATGACGGTGTTTGTTGCTTTGATTTATAGGGCCCTCAATAATTTTTGAAACATTTTATACTAGTTCGTAAAATTAAGATATTGTAATATTTGCATAGAGTTTTTTATATTTGAAAATGTATGGCTAATTTTCTTATTTATTTTGCTTACATGATTAATATTAAATTATTTTCAGGAACCCTTTAATTTGGAGATGCCCGAGATGTTCATACATCCCTAAATGTTGCAGTACCGTGATGTAGCTTGGGGAGAATGTGAATGGCAGTTAACGTATTCTTAATTTATTAAGTGTTTTGGTTATGTACTCCTACTATTGAAAATGGATAAGACAATGAATTGAAAGTCATATTATTCCAAAATTAATATTCTTTAAAGTTTTTAGTATTAATTGCCCCTCGAGTGGCTCATAGACAGCGTGCTAGTTTTCCTTTTTGCTGTCGCGGATTCAATATCCGGTCGGGGCTGAGAGAGCTGTGGCTTCTTTTTTAATACAATAGTCTCAGTTTATGTGATTGATTGATAGTGATTCCGCGCGCGTTGACTGCTAAGGTCATTATTCCCGTAAATGTGGTACAGTTTCTTCGGGAGGTGGGAGTGATCTCCCGCTGGATGGCGAGATTGACGTCGACCAACTCTCGGCTAGCAGGGTTTCCCTCAACCAGGTATCTCCCATTAGCTGAGCACCGCCCAAGCAAGGACAACTTTAAAGTTTCCAACCAATCTTCCGATACGTGTAGAAGTGTAGTGTATATTAATGTAACTTTGTGTCAGGAAGGGGTAGGATAGGACAAGAAATGCAAAGGAAAAATCGCGCGTGCGGTCCATGGCACGTTTGTTAGGAAACTGCTGCGGAATTCGCCTGGTGTTGATCGGACAATCCACAAAAACTACCGATCAGAGCAGCCAACTGACAGAATTCTCCTCCAGACAGCAACTGAATTCAACAAAGCTGACAAGCTAGTGTCGAAAATCCTGCCACCGTCGGGATTCTAACCTAGGACCTCCCGGTCTTTAGTTTCTATGTGATGAAACGAAACTACAGGAAGGTCAACGAAACTAGGTGCTGGAATGGGATCTTGCTCACCACTTGTCTTCTTCACTCCCGCGCGTGGATGATAAATAAAAACAGGGCCCAGACCTGGGAAAACCACTAGCTGGCAAAACTCGAATTAATCCGGACCCTAAAGTCCCCAAAACATACAGACATTTTGTATTTATTCTTTTGTTTACTTGGCGCCTCGCCGCCTCCAGGAGTGTGGCTCCTTGGATGTGTCCTTGCTCTTAGCTACACGACGGAAATCCACGCGTCTCTGGCGACCGGAAGCGGTTGTCTTTTGTCGGCGCGGAGGGGGGGGAGCGAATGACGAATGCGGAAGGCGTGTGAACGTGCGTCAACCTCCGCCGCAGGTTGGCACCATCTTCCTCAGAATGAATGCTGTCTGGGGGATTTACCCGGACAGCTCAGTTTAATAGCATCCATCCCCTTTCCTGCCTCGTCGTCTTCGATCCAGTCACAAGTGTGTGAAATGAATTTCGCTGTTCCACGTTGATTGATCAATATGTTAACAGAAGTTTCGTGCTTCACGACGACACATCTGCTTCAACGAATAAGAGTTGGATATTTGGAATGCATATGATACTGTTGAGTGAACAGTATTAATGGATTACAATATTACGGTGTATTAATGGTGTATTAATGGATTACAATATTACGAATAAACCCGACTCTCTCCCTCTCGCCCCATCTATCTCGCCCCCGTCTTCTCTTTCACCTCGTCTTCTCTCTCGCTCTCGTCTTCTCTCTCGCCCTCGTCTTCTCTCTCGCCTCGTCTTCTCTATCGCCATGGTCTTCTTTCTCGCCCTCGTCTTCTCTTTCACCCCGTCTTCTATCTCACCCTCGTCTACTCTCTCGCCCTCGTCTTCTCTCACGCTCTCGTCTTCTCTCGCATCTCGTCTTCTCTGTCGCACTCGTCTTCTCTCTCGCCCCGCTTTCTCTTTCACCTCGTCTTCTCTGTCACCCTCGTCTTCTCTCTCGACCTCGTCTTCTCTGTCGCCCTCGTCTTTTCTGTCGCTCTCGTCTTCTCTCTCGCCCTCGTCTTCTCTCACGCCCTTGTCTTCTCTTTCACCCCGTCTTCTATCTCACCCTCGTCTTCTCTCTCGCCCTCGTCTTTTCTCTCTCCCTCTCTTGAAGCAATATTAATTTCTACAAAATTAACTATCCTGGCCATGGGAGTCATGGGTATCTCTTGACAGTCTTTTGTTGGGACCAGTTGTAAGAAATTTAGACCGCATCGTTTCTTATAGTTTTTTTAGAACCAGTACCATTTGTATCAATACTAGTACCAGTATTCGCGCTATTAGTACCATTATTACTTGTGGTATTCATTCACTTCAAGAATAGGTTGAAGATCAAGTTCTTTAATTTTATGAACATCAGTTTATGAAAATTCAAAGAATAAAATGTCTGAATAATATCTTAGAAATAATACAGCGAAAATAATTTTCAAATTTCATCACGCTTTTTTAACAATTAAGGAGTAGTGGATTATTGACGAACAAAAAAGGAAGAAGTGTGCGATGTGGGAGAAGTCGCTGGAGTTTCATGAAAGATGGACATGTAGTGTTCCGCGGAGATATATTATTTTATTTTAAATGATAATTTAAAAGGTGAGCAGTAAATTATAGTAATAGTGATAATGTTAGACCAAAAAAGTAGAAACACTTCAAAATTAAAAAGAGAAGGAAATACGAGTGAAACAAACGCTATGCTTTACATCGCAGAAGCAGACAACGATAAGTAACCTTGCATTCAATGGCGATAGACGTTGCGATAACGAAATAGTTCATTGTTTGCAAGCTAAGTGCAGCAAAGATATATAATACATATTTGTTTGTAAATTTGCATATGCATGTTATCATTTCTATGTCATTGTAGATTTCTGTATTATTAATTTAAATTCACAATTAAATCAAATATTGAGAAATGATAGTAAATGTTAAGTTCGATTTGGTAACGATATTGTCTTTAAAATTGAAATGTAAATATTTTTAAAGTGATTTTATTATCTTAAAAGCTTATTATGATTATTCAGTAGAAATTTAAGACATTTTGAGAGTATGGTTTTGTGTGTGTATATACATTTTCAGTTTAAGTTGAGGAAACTGGACTACACCACAGAGTATTTATTCTGTCCGGTAAGCGATTATCCAGTTACGGTCAAGAGGTTAACTATATTTTTGTACAGAGACGGTTCTTCTTCGAACTGTCTCATCGGCGGAGGTGGCTCATGGCATCAATTGATGTCACTGGATCACTGATCACATCTGATCGGGGAGTCCTAGGGTTCGAGTCCGGTCGGTGGCAGGATTTTTGAATAGCTAGATTGAAATCAGACTCAGCCTGGAAGCGACTACTAGCAGCCGGCAGTTCTGTTCGGTAGTTTTCTGTGGTTTCTCTTAACAGGCAAATGCCGGAGCAGTTCCGTAACAAACGGGCCACGAATCTCGTGCAATAATCCTTTACCTTTTGTTCTAATCTCCTGCGCTTTACCTTCTTTGTTCTAATCTCATTTCTTACTTATCACACTTACACTTACATGTACTACGAAGCCGGGAGACTTGTCAGGAGCTAAGATTCCCGTTGGGGCGGTGACCCACGGTGAGAGATATCTGGTTGGGGAAAACACCGCTAGCCGATGTGTAGGTCGACGTCGGAAATCGCCATCCAGCAGAAAAGATCATCTCCTCATCCCGCTACAAAAACCTGAACTACATTTTATGACTAACGACCTTAGCACTTGAAACACTAATCGATGAATCGAACCGTCCCACTTTACAAATAAAAGCTCCGGAATGGCGTTTCACGAGGTGGAATTTTGTCGAATTTCAAACACGGCGGACAGGTGCCGTCGGGTTATAATGTCACCCTTAATGTAACTTTTTTGAGTTACATGAATTTATCATCATGAATCATGAATTTATCTTATGAACTTGAGTGAGGAATTTCGCAGACGTTTTCGAACCTCTGACATTAACCTCTTACCTCCGAGCTAGACACGGGGTTCGCAGACATGTGTATGTGCCTGAAAAGGACCACACCCAGGCTGGTCAGTGAAATCTGTGCTGAGTATGCATCACATTAAACAATTAAACCGAAGTTTAATCTCATGATAAGAGATAAGAGTTGGTAGATGATAATTACTATGATTCACTCAATTTTTAACAAAAATGTCAACTTTGGCTAATGTTTTGAGAAATAATGATACAAAATACAAGAATAAAATGTGTCACACTTTTAGTATGTAATAAAAAAGGAAATTGGTATTTCTTAAGTGAGATTAAGTAATATGTGCTCAATAAAAATCACTTCAATTATTACTTTTTTACGAATTTCTACAAACTAATTGTAATTCGCATTGCATATTTTATTCCTTAAATATTGTGTTCTTATTATGGTTTATAGATAAATTTAATTAAATGTATGATCAAAATGTTTATTTGCATTGAAAAGGATACTTAACAAAGTAGGTTTTTAGTATAAAAGTATACTTTGCAAGTAATTTTGCTATTAACAACTTCTTGTGTTAGTAATTTTGCAATTACTAGCAAAATTAACTGTATCTAAACCCGTCTAATCTTTTTAAAAAATTACATCTATATCAGTGAGAATTAAACGGCCTCAATGAACTTACTTTATTATAAACAAATAAATATTATCAAAAGTAAAATTGATGGTTTCGGTCTGAATAAAACTTAACCAGGGTTACCGAAGGACAACCTCTACTCCCCACTGCAACGATACCACGTGTATGTTCATGACTTGTAACTGTAGATGGTGTTGATAAAGACATTTCGTTCCGTACACTACAGAATATATTCATCAACCGAACATGTCACGATTTTCTTTGAAAAGACGAAGATCTCGAGTTTATTGTCATTGAGCAAAAAGAAGCTTTGTTGTTTTAGCGCTAGTGCGTAGACCCAGGAAGGGGAAGAGCGATGAAAACACAACGTAATATTCCACATAACACATCCTGCCAGATTTCCCCGTCCCTGACATTCTCCTTAAACGCTACGTCTCTGTCGGAACCGTCATGAAACTTCTGCGAAACAGTGCTGATAAGACGGTTGTATCATAGAGCGGCACTTTGTGGCCATGCGTCATGTCCGCTTCCGGATTGACGACTCAAGAGCAGTCCCTTCCAACTTCCTTGTTTTGCTCTTCACCCACAAATCTCGAGACGGTGGTTCGGAAATTTCTCGACCTCAAAAAAAATTCAAACAAGATTCCCTGGTGGGAATGACTAACGCTTTGAACAGTTTCAATTTACAATTCTTTTGTTATTTAAGGTCCCATCAACTTCTAGGTCATTAGCGACCACTTTTGCTTGTAACGGTACGGTAACGGTATAGTGACACGATATGATGATGATGATGATGATGATGATGGGGGTGAAAGGACGAACACAATACAATACCATGCCCGAGGCGGGACTCAAACCCGCGATCCTTCGGTCTGAGATCGCTACGACACTACTACCTTAGCGATCTCGGCCACCGGATTGACAATACACAATATTGTAGTTCGAAAAATAAACAAGAAGCCCAACGTCACTCCCGTTTCCGGATTGACGACTCAAGGCCCTTCCTACTTCCATGTTTCTCACTTCACTCGGAAATCTAGACATGGTGATTCGGGAATTTCCCGACCTCCAAACAATGTTTTCAAACAAAATTCCCTGGTCGGGGTGACTAACGCTTTGAACAATTTTAATACGCAATATTGTCGTTCGAAAGAGAAAGGAGAAGCCCGAATGATCATCACATTTGTAAAAGATATGAACTGATTTGTTTTAGTACACAGTTACAAATGCATTTTTAGAGAGCTACTAGTAAAACCAGTTTTTTTAGGGAACGCATAAGGTCCTTCGTTACAAACAGCATTTTCAATTAAACATTCAAATATTACAATTCAAAAATAAACAAGAAGCCCGAAGTCATTTCCGCTCTCGTATTGACAACTTGAGAGCAGCCCCTTCCAATTTACTTTTTTTTCTCCATCCAGAAATCTAGAGATGGCGATTCGTGAATTTCTCGACCTCAAGTTTTGTTTCAAATAACATTCCCTGGTGGCAGTGACTATTTATTTTTTAACTAACAATATTATTGTTCGAAAACCAAGCAAGCAATCCCGAATGATCCAAGATATATTTGTAAAATATATGAATTTATTTCTTTTAGCGCATCCTTACAAATTCTTTTTTATACAGCCACTAGTAAAGGCGGTTCTATCAGACAAGCATCGATTGCGAAAAGTTTAATGCTTAGAACCAGTGCTACAACTTAGATGATGCTCAAAAGTTACGATAAATCTATGAATGCTTCAAAGAAAACAAAATACTTTCGTCTGAGTTAGCTACTGCTTCCATTAATATATCACTAAATGATAATAATTGAGCTAGCAAAATACCCGGCGTTACCCTTTTTTTTTCATATTAAGTCCTTGTGAAAAAGAAAACGTCTCTGTGTCTCTCACTGTATCTTTCGCTATCTGTTTCTTTGTCTCTCTCTCTCTCTCTCTCTCTCTCTCTCTCTCCTTGTGTGTGTGTCTCTCTCTGTCCCCCTGGTTGTCTCTATATGTGCCTCTCTCTCTGTACCTGTCTCTCTCTATACCAGTCTCCTTGTATACCTGACTCTCTGTATCTGTTTTTCTCTGTAACTCTCTCTCTCTCTTTGAATCTCTCTCTCTCTCTCTCTCTCTCTCTCTGTCCTCTTCTCTTTCTTTCTCACTTTCTTCCTCTCTTTCTCTCTCGCTCTCTCTCACTCCACACACACATATACACATTCTTACAAAATTCATTGTCACATTTATGATTATTTTGAACATGTAATCTAACTGATCTATTCGATTCACCTTAATTCCTGGACGTTTTCAGATGACACTGCCCCTCCAAAAGTGGCTTCTTTGATTTGGAATTGAGAGATGTTGCCTCAACTGTAACCTCAAAAAAGTATTCAAAACATACGCGAGCTGAAAGATATATTTAATCTCGAAATACAAAAGTAATTACAACGTACAAACGCAATGTAAGTCCGAATAGAAAATTAACAGTTTTTAAATTAATTTTGTTCTATTAGCGAGATGCTTTGATCCGTGTTTTAAACAAATCATCAATTTTTAGGTATGTAAACTACTATACCTCATTCACTTTAGTATTAATATTGCAGCTAATACAAGCAAACACAAACACGCAAGCGTCAAGTTACTATAAAAATCTATTAAAATATTATAAATCAATCGCCTCACATGTTTTTTGAAAATGCCAAAGACGGAAAGAAAGCGCTAACTACCACTTCAGTAAGGGTGTATGAGGGCATCAACTGATAACAACTGCTGTTTCCTGTAGGGGTTCGTGTCTCAACAGTGAAAGGATTTACGACATTGCTAGGTCGAATTTAGCCGCTGTCTGGAGGACAATTTTAGCGGCGGGTGCTCTGATCAGCAGTTTTCCGTTGTTTCTCGGATCATGGGATCATCTCGATTCCAGGCGAATGCCGGGGCAGAGCCGTAAGAAACGGGCCACGGACCGCACGCGATATCATCTTCCTCTTCCTTGTCCAATCCTCACCCCTTACTTATACACACTTCCACTCACATGCACTACACTACCACACATGCCGGATGAGGAGACAGGACCTAAGAGCTTGTCTCGGCTGGGACGACGCCACGCTGCTCGAAGATGCTGGTTAGGAGCAAACCCGCACGCCTGTCGGTAGATCGGTGCCGGATCTCGCAATCCAACTGGTGAGGATCAAAACCACCTCTTGCGATAAAAAAATACACGCACTGCACTTAGGAGACTAATCACCTTAGGAGTTGACGCGCCGAGAAAATATACATATATATATATATATATATATATATATATATACATATATATATTGAAACGAAGATCGTTTCTGTAATTAGAACAATTACAATGATCACCAATTATAAATTAAAATAAAGTACTGGAGTTGATCAGCGCAGTAACGCCGCCGCCGCCACCAACGGTCAAATCGGGGGGGGATACGGCGAGGCGAGCGACGGTTAGTGGTGCGCGGAGAGGCCTCGAGTGAAGCACGGGCGGGGCAGTGTTGCGTCCTAGACATTTATTGTCGTTGATAAGTGCAGTTCGGACTGAGTGTGGCCGCTAAGTGGGGAACCAGGTTTGATAACGATTAACAGTCAGATGATTAGGGGAAGTAGAATTGCGTTCCAGAACTTACAAAAACCAATAAGACAGGAAATCGTGTGGCCGGTGGTCTCGTGTCATAATCCCGCCCTGGTATAATATAACGGTGGGCAGTACTGTACGGACATCCGCGCAAAGTGGAGAAAGGTCGCTGAAAAGACTAGAACAGCCGACGAACATCAGTCACGCGTCGTGCGTTCCAATACCCGTGAGACATTGTTCATACCGGCTGGGGTGGACCCCGGCGAATTCATCGGCCGATACGTTGGGCCAGAGGAGTTGGTCGCCGAGGGAGGGCGAATTCCCGGCGGACTTCGGGGCGAACCGAAGCTTACCGAAGCCACCGCCGCCGTTGCCACGACGGCCCCGGTCGCCTCCAGAGGAAGCAGGTGGTTTTTAAAACATCGAGGTAGCGTTGACCATGCGCTTGTTTCCAAGGCCTGCGCATTGCGATTTGTAAATACGATTTGTAAAGTGTGTTCTTTGATCATTAAAATATTTAGATGTGCAAAAGAATTTATAACGATCTTTTTATGCTGCGCCAAATTCCTGGAGACCCATTCACGAAAATGTACCTGTCCCTTGCATAATTTATTTGTCGTGAAAGTACCGCTTTCCAGGTACGTCACAATATATATGTATGTATGTATGTGTATATATATATATATATATATATATATATATATATATATATATATATATATATATAACCAATCATCACACTTCATATTATCAAGGTAAGTTCATTCCAGTCATCAACTACATAAATCCTCATCCCTTCCACCTAGTTCGTTTTAGAAGACTTAGGCGTGAAATTAAAATCAATAGTGTTTAACTACACTTATAAAATGTTCCAACCAGAGCCTTGTATTCCAAATGATATGAACCTATGATAATCTCCTTTTCCTTACGGCATTCAGGGGAGTGGTTTTATTTATTCAGATATTACCAAAACTATTTTCGCGTAATATTGCAATAAAATTTTAAGATATGTATGTCCTTTGTCACAACGGCTTTTTACATGCTAAGGCCAACTAGCAGCGTCCCGGCCTTGCGTGTTAAAGGGCATGTGTGAGTAACACATAGTCATCCCCACGCTGTATTTTTGTGTTATCAATCTGAGAACTCTCTCATCATCACACAGCAACATATACAAGGACATTGCAAGGAAAGCGCATTGTTGCTCCGGGAATCGAACCTGGGATTGCGCCGTGGAAAGGGAGCTAACGAAGGAGCCACCGAGGGCAACTTTTAAAAGATAAGATAACACATTAAAAATTACATATTTTCTTTTATTAAAAATAAATAGAATAGAAAGGAAGAAGAATCTTCAAAAACAAGTGTCCTTTTAATAGGTCGGTGACAATATGTACAGCTGTGTAAAAGAAAAATTTTAGGATAGACAAAGAACAAAAATTATGAAAAATAATGATCAAAAATGCAATGAAAAGTTTCAAAAGCAAAGTTTTATTTGCGCTGTGTTATAATGTATAAAACAATTTGGATACAGTGCTAATGAGTTGGGTTGTTTGTTGTTGTTTTTTCCAAAAGAAGTTACACTTCTAGTTACACTGACCACATCGTTTTTGTCTTGGTATGAAAAAAGATTATTAATTCCATCAATTCTTGAATATTAATGTAGATTTTCAGACGATCTACTAGGACCTATTTTTGGGTGATTCTAAAATGCCAACAGCAACCGCCCTTTTAAACCAGCTACCTTAAGGGGTGGCGGCGAGCTTCCTGCTTGGCACATCTGTTTCGCGGGTTGCCTATGGTGAAGTTCCTGGCAAGCTTTCTTTTTCAGAACGATTGATTGATTAATATTGATTCCGTGTGCAGCAGCAAATATAGTCATTATTTGCATGAGTGTTGTGCCTTTTACATCGCAGATATGATGTTTCCTTTCACGCTGGATGACGAGATATGGCGATGTACTACGTCGGCTTGCTCTCATCCGGGAGGTCCTATGTTTGAGTCCCTGGCAGGATGGATATCCTGGCAGCTTTCTTTTTCCGAACGATTGATTGATTAATTTTGATTACGAGTGCTGCAGCTAACATAGTCATTAGATCCGTAAGTGTTGGGCCTTTTACATCGTAGAGATGATGGGTTTCCTTTCCCCCTGAATGGCGAGATCTGGCGATGACCTACGTCGGCTTACCCCCGACCGGGAGGTCCGAGGTTCGAGTCCCGACAGTGGCGAGATTTTCGACACAAGCTGTATCGAATTGTCACATTGTCTGGAGAAGATTTCTAGCTTGCGGCTGCTCTGATCTTCAGTTTTCTGTGGATTCTCGGATCAATATCAGGTGAATGCCGGGGCAGAACCCTAACAAACGGGCCACGGACCGCAAGCGATCTTTCCTTCCTCTTCCTTGTTCTATCCTTACCGCTTACGCACCTTTTCACTTAATGTATTACACTACCGTCCATGCTGGAGGGGTAGGTCGGGAGCTCAGAGCTTGTCCCAGTTGAGACCCGTGTCCCCGAAGGAGAGAGATGTCTGGATGAGGAAAATTCCCGACGGCAAAAATAGCATGCACTACACTTATGGAACCTTAGCCGTTGATGCGCCAGGAATCACTAATCAATCAATTGGCTTGCGAGAGGTTTCCCAAACCAGGTATCTTCCAGCAGCGTAGCACCGTCCAACCGGTAGCTCTAATTTCCTGACTGGTGTCCCGGTATATGTGCTAGTGTAGTGCATGTTAGTGTGTGTGTGTGTGTGTGTGTGTGTGTGTGTGTGTGTGTGTTTAAGTAAGGCGTTAGATTATGGAAAGGAAGAGGAAGAAAAGATCACATCTAATGCAAAAGTTTTGGATACAAAGAGTAGTCAATACTCCATATTTGTGTATTAAATTCCTATGAACTTAACCGCCGTTCATCTAATATGAATTGAAAAGAGAATAGTCTTTATCTAGAAACATAGATTCCTAATTCGTAGTATAGTGTGGTTTAAAAAATGGTTCATATTTACAAAATATGTTATTTACCCTTACAATAAATAATGACTTTTAAACAATTTTTCTTAGAGACATTTTACCATCAGAGAATTTTGAAAGCTGTTTACCGATATAAAACTATTCGCTACCACAGTAAATATCTTTTTGCATACTACTTACATAGTATAAAATATTGTGATGCTGCAGCAAAAATGGCTCGTTTTCTAAAGAAACTCGTTTTGTGGGTCCCTAATACCAAAAACATGGAAAATTATTGTTAATGTATGTAGTAAATAACTTCCTCAAACACGCTGGGTAGTCAGAAACCTTGTTTTGTGTGTTCTTGATACCTTCAAAATACTTTGCAGTGAAACGTCACTCCGTCTGACATCGGCCTGTGAACAACGCTACCGGCTAAACCGAAAGGAGAATTTTCACCAATATCGATATTCTCTAATCGATATGGCTGATATCGCGGCTCCATGAACTTGAAATGAATCCTGTACATTTTAATTGTTTTTCAAAAATGGCTCCAAATTTCTGTTGTTTTTTTTCATGTTTTTCTCTGATAGAATGAAACTCATAAAAACGGCGTACGTCTCGTTTTCGTCAAATTCTGTGAATGTTCAAAAATTACGAAAAGGCAAATTTTTTTCGGCGTCTTTCTGCAACTGCAATATTGAAGAGAAAGGTTTTTCGTAATTATATCTTTAAATAAGTAATTGTTTAAAAAATAGTTCGAAAATATGAGTAATTTTTGCGTATTTTTTTGTGATATGGAGAATATTTTAGGCTACACTGATAAATACACTGATAAACGTGGCATAAACTTTATTTTGATCTCACCTTTTAGTTTTTCAAATATTCCACAAATGCACAATGTTCATGTAGTATTATAATATTCCATTTTTATGCCTACTTTACAGATAATGTGAGAAACTAACTGCTATTGTAGCACCACCAGTTTCGTTTAGGTTATCTACAATTGAACACTTGATTTCA